AGTTAACGAAGAGAAACTGGAGCTTTTAAGCCACCACTAATCTGATTTACTTTAGAGAACTTGTAGAAGATGTGGTGAGCTGCGCTTTAGAAGTGCTTATTCTCTGTATTGCCTAGAGGGCAAGCTAGATGAATTAGATTAGTTTAATCCCGGTATTTATTACTTTTCCCGCTTCCTACCATAAAAGCAACAATTCCCACCAAACCTTGAAGAAACCTATGATTATTTTTTCTTGCAGGGCTTTTCTGCTATTTCATGCACTTTCTTTCTCCTCCTTCCAATATTTTACTGGAATTAGCATTTAAGAATATGTCCTCCCTGGGTTCTTCTCTATTTCCTTGAGGCATGACATTTCTTCATCAGTTCTGCAGTTTTTGCTTCCTTTCTGCTGAAATCCAGTTGTGGTTGCTGTAACTTCAAATACATTGCCTCAAAGTGCCGGTATTTTTTTCTTCACTTCCAATCCTTGTTCATATTTCTATGCCTTTCTGACTGCCTAATGTGTTCCTCAGTTCAAAATAGAATTTCCTAGAGGACAGTTCTGGTTTTAGATTTGCACTGTTCATTTTCTTTTCCAGATTCTCTTTAATCCCCAAATTTATATGCGTTTTGGCATGGAAGGGCTGTGACAGCTGCTGTTTATTGCCTCCCTATGTGATCTTGAGTCTTAGGCAGAGGATCTGAATTTCATGTTCATGCAAATGTCATTTGTCCTTTTTTTTTTTTTTTTTACTATGACATCTGAAGAGTTCTGTGTTTTATTGTGTTGGAATGAGAACAAGAAAAGAAAACATTATTTGACCAACAATATCCAAGTCCCAGTTGTGTTTCCATGTTGTTATATGTTTCTTTGTCAGGACACTGTTGTGTCATGCACCTGTGTGACACCCGTCACTAAGAGTAAGTGGCTGCTATTCAGCTAATTTCTCTCTGAATGCAAATTATTTTATTTCAGGGATTTCAGGTTTATATTTGTGTCCTGGGTTCAGCAGTAGCAGTCATTTTTCTCCTTCTTGGTAGCTGGTGCAGTGCAGTGTTTTGACTTTCGGCCTGGGAACAGAGCTGATAACAATGATGTTTTGGTTTGGCCAAGGACTCTGTGAGCCTCATGCTCTGCCAGGGAGGAGGGGAAGCTGGGAGGAAGCAGAGACAGGATACCTGACCCAAGCTAGCCAAAGAGGTATTCCATACCACAGCACATCATGCCCAGGAGGTAACTGGGAGTTACCCGGAAGGGCTGGGACTGTGGGGTTGGAGGAGGTATGGGTTGGTGCTTGGTCGGGCTGGGGGAGCGAGTTATCAGTCAGCTGGTGGTGAGATGTTGTATTCTCTTCCCTTGTTATTTCCTTTATCATTGTTATTATTGGTGGTAGCAGTAGTGATTTGTGTTATACCTTAGTTACTAAACTGTTCTTGTCTCAACCCGTGGGAGTTGCATTCTTTTTGATTCTCCTCTCTGTTCCTCCGGGAGTAGGAGGAGGGAAAGAAGGGGGGGAGTGAGTGAACGAGTTACCTGACTGGGTTTAAACCACGACAATTTGTCTCTGTTTTGTCATGATCTATGACCTTTTTGCCAGGGCTGAGTTGCTTTTTCTAAGACATTAATTTCAGAGTTGGCAGCCATGAAGTAGATGAATAGGACAGGGCTGTGAGGAGTGTGAGGGTTTTACCCCACATCTGCAGAAGGGACGGGATATGGCTGTGATTTCTTGTGCCAGGAAAGCTGAAGAGGCAATGGAGGAGCTGCCTGGCAGGCTGATCATGGGAAGAGAGTAAATTTCAATTAGAAAAAAAGGACACAGTGATGGGAAACAGATCACTTGGCCATAGCAGTAACACTTTTGATACCAGAAACTTGTTTAATCACAGTCAGACTGTGGTTTGATCACAGTCCTGATCCTTTTTTTTTTAAATACTATTTCCACAAGTCAATAACAAACTTGGATTATTTTTCTTTTCCTGGTGCTGAAATTAAGCTCCAGATCCCTGGCTCCCAGAGACCAGCTTTCACCAGCAGCTTTCATGTGGTATGAAGAACCATAAAAATCTCTTATTAGTCATGCTAGTTGGACAACCAACCTTGACCAGTTCTGGAATGAGCTATATCATGGCTATACTTTACAGCAGAGCTCTCAGGCATGTGAGAAATGAAAGTTCAAGTTACTCCAAACAGATGAGAAATCAAACTTGCATAGACAAAGCCCTTTGTGAGGAGAGAATTACTGAGCTATCAGGTTCAGATCCTTTGAGAAAAAAGTACATGAATAGGTGACAAACTTTAGTAAAGAATTCTTAATTTAAGCCTAAGCAATGATAAAAATAGGCCAGAATTACAAAATTTAGTTTCTTATTCTGACACCCAAGTTCTGCCAGCAATATTGCAAGCAGCTTCTCCTAGGTGCTGCATGGACTTAAGCTGCTGGGTCATGCATGGCCATTATAGTGATATGGGCAGGAATGCAATGATCCCAGGAAAGGTGTAGGTGATTCAACTAGGAATTCCCAGGAGATCCCTTTTAGCAAGGCACATCCTTTTTTTAGCTCTGGAGAACAGAGGAAGAGTCATCACTCACGTAAGAATCTGGCTTATAAATGTCTGTTTTATCCCTTTTGGCAGAGTCTTCGTATGTTTGTAAGTGGACTCTCTTTAAAGCAGGTGGCCTCTGCAAAGGGCAATTGAGAGTTTATTCCTTGGGAAGAACATATATATTTCAAGTGAAGGCAGTGGCACTGATATTTCTTCTAATTCGCCTATCTGATAATGGTCACTCGTGGAAGGCATCTCTGTTCCCTGTTCCCATTTGCAGTTTGAAGAGGCTTATTGCTCAGGCTTATGACAGTGACAGCTTTTGAGGAAAAAAAAAAAGGGGGAGGGGAGAAAGAGGTGAAAAATTAGAACATTTGTAGTGAAAATTTTCACAAAAATGTGTTTCTTACATCAATTTCCTTTTTATTTTCAAATTTTATGGACAATTCTGACATCAACAGCTAAGTCATTCTTTGTGTAGACCTGCTTACCTTCTGTCTTGCTTCTTTTTTCATTGAAATAAATCTTACACTGAATCATTTGAAAGGATAAAGTTTAACATTTTTTGACAAATTGGGTACTTAAGGCTCCTTACTCTAGCAGATGAAAGTAGTGGAGCATTGTATCTTTTGGGCTGGTAGACAAAAAATTCTTTATATTAAAACAAATATATAAGTAAAATAGCTGCCTCTTTGCAATAACACTTCTCAAAGGATGAGTGGTACACATGAACAATATAAATTTCAGACACAGTCTTCAAAACAATTGCCTCTTGACAAGCTGAATTTGGGCATGTTACAAGCTGGAGATTGACAGAAGGTGGGGGTAACAAGACACAGACACTTAGAACCCTTAAGTATAAAGAAGAATTGCATCGCACTGAAATTCTCAGAAAGCTGAAAAGATTAGACACGTAAGGCTGCTTTCTACCTAATGTTGAAAGAAAACTTCAGAAGCAGAAACTGCCTAGTTCCTACCTGTGCTTTAACCTTTTGAAATATGGAGGGCATCACCCAACATTTGCAGTTTCTTTGTTATTCTTTCCTTTTCAATTATATTGAATTTTCATAATGCTTCACAGTGACATTTCTTAAGCTTCAGCTTTCTTATAACTATTTCATTATTCCAGAAAAAAGAAACCCAAAACACTGATACAGTAGAAAGCTACTAGCAAGGCCTTATACCACCAGCTCTGAGCTCAAGAATATGTTCAGTGGAAAAACACAGCATTTGGCTGTAGAAACACAAACCAGGTGGCTATAGGTCAGTTCACATTTTTGTCATCCCAAATTACCTTAACAAGTAATTCCACAGTGCTTAGTTTCTCAGCACGTTTCATCTATAATGTCACCAACTGGACTTTGAGCACCAAGTAGTTCAGCTTCAGGTTATTGCCGTCAGCTAGAGCCACCTGGCCAGATTTTAAGCAGTTTACAATTCCTGTTTAAATAGTAAGTAAGTCTACTCAGAAATGAAGCACAAGCTCTTTCTTCTTCCACACAGGCACTGTTGTCTTCTTCTGTAGATCCAAGTACATCACTGGAATAAAATAAAAAAAAGAACAATAATCAAATGTGTTATGCAAGTAAATTGAGAAACACGCCCCTGAATATTATCATTCTTCAGAAGGAATCATAAGGCTATGTGTCTAGAGTGCTAAAGGAAATCGTTAATATGTTTGGATGCTGCAACTGAATGTCAGAAATAACAATATTAAAGCCATACTCCTACTGCTCTCTCTTATTACCTTCCCACCTCCCCTTCCCTACTGAGAATTGGGATTAGTCCAAAAAGTAAAATTATAACAAAGATGATAAGTATTCCTCTGATTATTGGGAAAATGCATGCAGTTTAACCTCTGCCAACAATGCCACCTCTTTTCAACTTGTTTTACTCCAAGTTGAATCACTAAAGGCTGCTTTCATCTATTAAAGTTTAGAACAAAGAACACTCTTCATGACTATTAACCTCAACTCCTCTTAGATTTTGCTCGTTTTCCTAAGCAGAGCACCTGTGCAGTAAAGCAGCCCATCAGCTCTATGCAGTAAAAAGTATATTGTAGTATGTAATGTATTTTGGCTTGCTACTGTGGCATATCTCAGTGTCTTCAAGAACAAGTGGGAGCAGTTGGGTGTAGATCATTAACAGCTATCTAGTCATAGGGTGTCTAATTACCAGTGCGCACGTAATGGAAACCAATGACCTAAAGCAAAGAAGTCTTACTCAACATCCTGATCCTTCTTGCTCACCCTCTCACTTAGTGGTTTGCTACCAACCCTTCATCAGTAGTTCAGGGAAAAGGGGGGATTTAGCCTTGCTTTGCCCACAGCCCAGAATGTTTTCTTGGATTTTATGGAGGGCAAGCTGTTTCTCAGTTGAATTACAAAAGTATCTATCTTCTGACCTGATTCTACAGAAATATTCCACTTTTCCCTTTGGACCTAAAAATAAAGTAGTCAATTCAATCTTTCAGGTCTTCTGTGCATATTTGCTCCCTTCCTGTTTATCAGAAAAAAGGAAAGGAAAATCCTGCAAACATACTGCAAGAAGATGGAGAGGAAAACTGCAGGCTTGGTGAGAGAGCCTGGCAGTGTTAATGTTCTTATTCTAACACAAAACTTCTTAGGGGTTGCTAATGACATGTTAACCTACCACTGATCAGCTAATTTTCTTTATCTTCTCCCACCTTTCCTTCCCTGGCACATAATCCCTTGTTCCATTACTATTTTAATTTTTATTTTCTCTTTGTTCTTTTATCTGTCTTAAGTTTCTCAGGGTATTTATTTGTTTGCTTTTAAGATTATGAGGTCCTGGAGCCCAAGTAAGAATTTTCTTTGTGTGCAAAACATTCAGCACTGCTGGCAAATGTGAACAGTAACAGTGATAAGAGCTGGTAAGAATGCTTTGAACTGATCACTTCATGTAAGGAAAAACTTTTTGCTCAAAACAAAAGAATGCTCTATTAACTTGCTTTTAATGGCTTTGCCCATAGACATGTTTGTGAGGTGTGAGATAAAGTCTCCAGTAACAGACTGAGTCAGAAACCTTGTCTTTCCTATCTCAAAATGGGCATTTCAACACAGTTCCATTTTGTGGGGTTTTTTTTTAGAGTTTGCAAGTAATGTTCTTCCCAGACTTAAAAAAAAACACAAACAAAAAACTACAAAGTTTTCACAAAATTTACATTTTCCTGTTAGATCTGAATAATATTTTTAAGTAACCAAATGACTGGTTTTGACTGGTGTGTAATTCTGACCTGATTAGTCTTTTTGTCTGGCTTTTCAACTATTGTCTGATGTTCTGCTCATAATCTACTTTTCAGACCATGTGTTTTCTAAGAACCTTGATAAGACCTCTTTGACTAGTTCTTTTAAATGATTCACATTTTCCTTCACATTGGCTTTGCACTGTTCTCGAACAGGTAAGAAGCCTTTTGATTTCTTGGTTGAAATCCCGAGTCCTTTGAACTTAATATCATGCCTGTGCTCAGTTTCAGTACAGCCACAGCTTTACCCTTTATTATTTCTCTTCCTCCTCTTAGAAAAGTGCTGATCATTCCTACTTATTTACCTGTGGCTATTTACTGCCTGATGAAAGCTCTTTCCAGAGCCAAAGTAGAGGCCATTTTACACAATCACACATACCAGGAATACTCAGTTTACTGTGACAACATTAAATCATCCTTTCCTCTGTAGTGTATAAAGCATATATTGCTGAAGACCTGAAAGTGTAGGGACAATGTGCATTACATAAAGAGTACACCACAATTCAATCCCAGTCTGAACAAAACCTTAACTGTGTATTTATCCTAATAGTCTAGTTTTCTTCTCTGACTTTGAGAGAAGAGAGCTCATTTAGGAGATTTCCTTATTCACTGGAATCCAGTGTATTTACATGCATAAAACATTGGGAGTCACATAACCCTTCATTCCCCCACAAAGTCCAGGCTTGACACAGGTTTTGCCTGCTAATTTTTACCTTTTAGGAAAGCAAGCTAATTGAAAGCCTTGCTGTGCATTCCTGTACAGCTTGTTAGAGGCATTCCTCTTTGCCTATTCTTGTCCCTTTACTATGGTTCACATCCCTTTCTTCTGCATCAGCACAACCACAGGGTCATTATGCTAGAAACTGGGTTAAGAATATAATCCACGTTACCATAAAAATTTGAGAAGGGAACAGGTAGCAGAATTGTTTTAAATCTAGATAATTTTACTATCCTGAGCTTAGAGCGCATCGCCATTAACGGTTGCACAAATGCAGTTGAGGATGTTTGTTTGCTAGATTGTGTATTGGCAGGATCAGAGGGAGAAACTCCTGCAACAGCTCCATCACCAAGCAAAAGGACCATGGGAATCTAATAAGGTTTTTAAAATAAAAATACCAAATAATCTCAGGCATGAAAAATTCATGAGATCTAGCAAAATTGTTATTTTTGTTTTGGTTTCCGTCAACCATAATATAATGCTGTTTCTGGTTTCCTTCCCTACAGTACTATTACAAGTTTTAATTTACAAAATGTTTGCAATACACTTTGGGATGCCAAGATAGAAGGCAAAGCGTGTGCTGTTATAAAGAATTCTAAAGGTGTAAATTCTTTCAAAATAATGCATACAAACTTCCATGAAGCTGTTTAATACAGCACTTAACAGAGTTTCATTCTTTATGCCTGCATGTGAGCTACGTAGCTTATTATGACATCATTTATTTCATCTGCACATGCATTGTTCTACTCTTTACATAAAATGCACATTTTCTTAAAATAAACCTGACCTGTCACTGACTCACTGTTAAAACCAGAAAATTTGAAAATATGTTGATATATTCAGCTCTATGGAAATAAACAAACAAATAAGCAGGAAGAAAAGGTTGTGTGATTTGAATACTTTGATCAGTTTGAGAGAGCTGTTCATTTGTAGGGCATTGTTATATAGCCCTTGCATTGCCCTCTGGCCAGCAGTCAGAGCAAACAGATTCTTCTAACTTCTGCTTCACTGCATCTGCTCCAAGTTCCACCATGCACAGAAAATTAGTACTCTTGAAATAATATAAAAAAGTGTAAAAAAGTGGAACAGGTGTTCAGGTCAATAGTTTCATTTTAAATATGGATGCAGAAAATTTCCTCCTTCCTCCTTTCCAGATAATAAAACTTAACCAGTGCTTCACAAGACTGTTAGACTTTCTCTGAGTAATATTTTGATCCTTAAATGAACATATAGATATCTGTTTCGCTGTGTCCAATTTTTCAAAACATATTGGGAGGGATTTTTTGAAAGCTATAAAAATATATATGACTAAAAAAAACATGTTATTTAAACATGAACAGCAAAACTATTTTAATTAGCTATGACTCAATAGAAGTAAACCTGTACAGACTTGGATATTAAAAATAGACCTACCATATGATCATGTTATGCTTAATGTTTAACGAGGATACAAACTCAGATTAAGATCAAGCCTGCTTTGTTTAGATGCCTAGTTTAAAACCTGTTTTAACAAAACTTGCATCCATGGATAACCAGTGTGAGATCTTCTTAATCTCCCATGTTGGTCACCCTGTTTCCTGCACAGACTCCCTTGTAGACCTGAGATAGAAATTTCTACTTTGGGGACCTCCTTGTCTACTTTACCTATTTTGGGAGCAGTGCTTCTTAGAGAGATCAAGGACATTTAAATCAGAAACCTGTCTTCCACCAAGATCTCACAGGTTGAACAGGAAATTGATGATCCAGTCTATGCAGCCTTTTCTGAAGACAGCCATTAAATGAAGAGAAGACTGATGCTGCATTTTCAATACTAGCCTCAAGAATTAGAGCTCTTGCCTAAAATTGTGAATCCCAGATATCAGGACATCCCCTCAGAGCAGTGAGCAAGCATTGGTCATTACCCAGAAGGCAGCTCTAGTCTCCAGCATGACTGCATGGTCTCTCCCCAGCTCTCCTTGTCATAGACAAAATGGGACTGTGTATAACATGATCATTATGAGGCCAGTCAAGCAACAGGTACAAATGAACCTTGTTTCGGAACAAAGGAAAACTAAGGCTCCTGGCACTTTACCATTTTTGTTTTGTAGTCAGTTGTGTGCTAAGACAAAATTTATTTCCATGCCAGGGTGCTTTTACTCCCTTTCAGATCAACAGCCATTCATCTTAAACCGAGGAAAGTTTTAACTTCAGGAAGGGTGAAGCTGTGGGTGTGATGTAGGTCAGTTTAAACCTGGATCATAGCAGTTTTTAGTGGGTGATAAGAAACTGCATGGCTAATGCAAGCTCCTGAGGCTCAGATTCACCAAAAGACCTTTGAGATGAATAGGCAAATGTCCAACAAATGCAGGTGGTGGAGGTTACAGGGCTGGAAAACAGGCATCCTTGATTGCCCTCAGGGTCTTGCCCATTTTAAGGCTTCTAAATCCTACTTTCGTTCTACTGTAAAACAATCCAGGGACTAAAATATCCAAGAAGCAGGTCACAAGAAGTAATGCACTACTGGGTAGAAATCCCACAGTTGATTTGGGCTGACCAAGTCAAGCCAAGCTACTTCTTCCCAAAGCCAATACAGTTGGGTTACCTTGGTTCATTATCCCTGTTGAAGAATCACTTTGTACAACAGTACCACTTTAGTTGTAGACTTTGGTTGGATGGAGTTAGGGCAAAGCATCTTTATACCACTTCGCACTGGATGTGTGGGTGAAATAAAATCCTGACTCAAAGGAAAAGTAATTTTTGATCTTCACAGTGAATCACTGATTTTAACAATGACAGCTGCTGCATGCACCCTGTCAACCTGAAGTTACACAGCAAAATCACTGTAACTTTCAATATTGCAGCCCAAATTCTGGCTACAGCAGACCTGGTTTACAGGGTAGGAAATTTGGCCCCATGTCCTCTGTGAAAAGACTGAATTTTGTCCTTGTGAAGCTGTTGGCAAAACTCCTAAAGCAAGGTCCAGTAAGTACAGAGCTGCACCACTTACTGCTGGGCTGCTCTGCTACCCAGATTGATTACCTGAAACCAGAATCCAAATAAGGGGAAAGGACACCAGAATGCTGGTGCAGGAGAACTAATAGAAAATAAGGAGCAAAAAGAAAAAAGGAGCATTAAATCCTCAGTCTTAAAGGTAATTGTCTGCTTGTCTCTAGACTGGAAAGAAGCGCAGTACATGTAAAACTCGCTTCTCTCAAATAAGAAGCTTTATATTTTTGAGACTGGTTTTGTGACTAAGCAACCAATTAGCAAGATTCAAGTTTAAATCCCTGTTTTACTTAATTTGGGAAAGGTCCTGAAACACTTGCCTCCCTGTTTTATATAAGTGCCTCAACCATTATATTAGGGATATTCACACTTCTAAGTAAATAATATTTACATGCAACAACTGCTAAATATTTAAATAAAAGAAAGAGATGTTGAAATCAGAATAATCCAGGACACAGATATATCTGGATTTTATCTTTTGTTTCAAACTAACCCTAGTAACAAGTAAATGCTTACATTAAACTATTCAGGTATACAGTTTGTAGGAGTATACACATCACAGAACAACCAGGACTTCTGTGTTTCCTATAAGGCTTGGTGTGGTTGTGCTGCTTTGAAAACTGCTCTGAATATGACTCCACCAGTGCCATAATCAAAAGAATAATAAATTTCATAATCTAACTGGGTTTTACATTACAACTGAGTACTGCTAGAGCTTGTGCATTATATGATAAGCTAGGTGGCAGAAAGAGAGTTGTCATTAGGACAGGGTCAACGTTTAAATATCAAAGTGTTTTAGGCCAGGATTATGTAGTAGCTGACAATGTATGCAACTAGTTTTATTTATTAATTTTGTTAACTCAACTATATTTGGTCCTTATTGGAGGAAATCTAAGAGACACAAATTTCTTAACACAATCTGATTCTGTTCTTCCAATAAAGCTCAAGGTTATGCCAAAATTTACAGCTGTGGCTGTTCTCTTCTGCCAGTTCCCATTACAGTTTTATCATCAGCCTTGTCTTTTTTCTTACCGTGTTATCCTTTGATGATAGCCTTTGTCTTCTCATATTAATTTCTTTTTGCTGCTAATTACACACACAGTTCTTTTCAGCCTGCCAAAATAATCTGTGGAATTGAAAGGAAGCACCAGGCTCATTGGCATTATGGAAATTATGGCCTCAGACAACTGCATCCCATCTGTAAACTTACTTGAAAACTACCCTTTCCCCTGTCCCAGACCTGAACGCTTACTAAGTGTTACAGATCCCCTTCTTCTGACATTCAGCTGCTTTCTGCTTCTGAACCTATATTTATTCCTGGGCAGATTGTAACTGTCCTTTTCTGTTGACTCTTAAATATGGATGACTTCACACTTTATCATTCTGATTTATTCACTACCAAAGCAAGCTCAACATAGTTAAAAAAAATGAGTTTCTTATTTTCCACATGCATATTCATTAGCAGGTGGAAAGGATCATACACAATCACAGTGCTTACTGAGGCAATTTGCCTGCATCTGCCCACTGTTTAATGTTTTAGGTCACCTGTCCTTTAGAATTATTTCTGTCACTGCTGTAACACAGAACACTCTGCTTCCCCGGATACCATCCATACAAGTGATGAAAGAGTGGCTCCTCCAGAGCAAGGAAGAGGCCCAAAGGAAGGAAATTATTTTCAAAAAAAAAAAAAAAAGAAGTATTTAAATCTATGCTAGAGATCAGAGGAGAAGTTGGGGCAAAAGATTGACAGTGACACTGCCATGCCTGATCCACTCCATATTTGGAACACTGGAGGCAGTTCTGCCATCTGTATTTTCAGGTGGGAATATGCAGTAGGAATAAAGCACATTAGGGAAAAATATCTGTGGTGCCGGAGAGCTGAAAGTGTGTTGTAGGTAAGAATGATAACAAATTGCTTGGGCAGATGGAGTGAGCTTTTCCCAGAGAGGAAAGGAGAGAAGGAGCAATTTTACTCTTTAAAACAAAACAGGACCTTTGATGTCAAATTGTTTAGGGCATTAGTTTAATGTTTGACTTTTCTAAAGCCAGGCACTTCCAGCTCTTCACAAGGAGGCTTTAAAGACTGCTTTCTGTTGCACAAATGTGGTGCCTCTAATACCTTCTTTCTGTGTATTTTGTTGGACTTAAAAGTCCACTGGTTTTAGTGGAACGACATTGCCACAGAAGTGGAATAACCCAGGACTTGATGGTGTTAGGAAAGCTATTCATCATACACGTTGTACCATGTCAACTTCAGTGTGTGCTATTTTGGTACCTTCATGCTGAACAGTAGTTATAGCACACCTTTTCTCTAATTGTCTTCATGACTTCCACCTAAGTGAGAATCTATCATTTACAATAAGAGTAAGCACTAAAAATACAGTCACAGAAAAAAAAAAAACCAGACCCTTTGCTCTTCACTGATTCAGAAATGATTTCCTGTGTTCCTTGTAATGGGGTAAAATGTACTTTCTTAGTTGTAATGGGAACAAATTTAGTAGACTATTTACAGCACACCTGTTAACTTACTGTGCCAAGAAAGCTTTTGAAGAAAGAAATTTTTTCAAAGATCCTAATTTTAGTTCACTGGTGTTTCTTTCTAAATTTCTTCTGTACAGTGCAGATTTTCTTCATAATCACATTTCTAATAGGTTTTGACATGGGCAAGGTGATGTCACCACATTTTTGATTGGACTTCCAAATTTAATAGTTGTTAGCCCACCACATTTCCTGCTTCAGGGAGCAATTATATTTAATGGAGCAGTAATCCTGACATTCTCAAATCGGACTGCAAATCAGTTTCTTGTAATTGGATTAGCAGCAGAGTCTGAGGTGGAAGATCCTCTGACAACTTACATATTTATACCTAAACTTCTTCACTATGATTTACAATCTGATTATTTATATTTACACAGTTGGCTTGAGTCTTCCTAACGGGATGTCACCCCGATTTCACTGTTTACTGTTTATACTAGCCCAATTTTTGTTACTTGTCTCTGCATGGTTAAGATGGGTAGAGGGATTCTCAAGAATAACTACTGGACCTGACAGACTTCAAAAACTAGTTCATAACTCTTTAAAGATTTTTTTTTTTTCCTTCAGAACACAAAGGAACTGTCTCTGGCTAAGCAATCCCTTATAATGCTGCTTTATAGGACTTTTCCAAACTTTCTTAGTTTTTGTTTTCTTACTGGTGGCAAAGGTTTCTGATAAAATCCTTCTGCAGATCTGCAGGCAACTGCTTTCCTCTTCTGAAAGTCTTCAAGGGTTCCTTCCATCCTAAAGCACTAAATGCCTGCCATCAGCCAACTTTTGGAGATGACTTTCTTCATGTTTATATCAGATATTGTATACCCAAGCAGATCCTATAGAACAAACTCTACCTCACTGGTATCATAGAATAGTTAGGGTTGGAAAGGACCTTAAGATCACCTCACACTAAACCATATCACTCAAGGCTTCGACCAAGCTGGCCTTGAACAATGCCGGGGTGGAGCATTCACAACCTCCCTGAGCAACCCATTCCAGTGCCTCACCACCCTCACAGTAAAGAACTTCTTCCTTATATCCAACCTAAACTTCCCCTGTTTAAGTTTGAACTCATTACCCCTTGTCCTTTCACTACAGTCCCTAATGAAGAGTTGCTTCCCAGCATCCTTATAGCCCCCCTTCTGATACTGGAAGGCTGCTATGAGGTCTCCACACAGCCTTCTCTTCTCCAGGCTGAACAGCCCCAACTTTCTCAGCCTGTCTTCATATGGGAGGTGCTCCAGTCCCCTGATCATCCTCGTGGCCTCCTCTGGACTTGTTCCAACAGTTCCATGTCCTTTCTATGTTGAGGACACCAGAACTGCACACAATACTCCAGGTGAGGTCTCACAAGAGCAGAGGAGAGGGGCCGGATCACCTTCTTCGACCTGCTGGTCTTGCTCCTTTTGATGCAGCCCAGGATACGGTTGGCTTTCTGGGCTGCGAGCACACACTGAAGCCGGCTCATGTTCATTTTCTCATCGTCCAACACCCCCAAGTCCTTCTCCACAAGGCTGTTCTGAATCTCTTCTTTTCCCAACCTGTAGCTGTGCTTGAGACTGTTCCGACCCAGGTCTAGATGTATACACCATGGTAGCTATCTAACTGACTATGTTATTCCTACAAATGACATTTTGAATTCCTGTAGATTTCAGAAAATTGTTTCATCTTCATAGAAGTTTCTATTTGGCACTGACCTATTTCAAACAAAAGTCTCTCCTCACCTTCAGGGGAAAGAGCTACTGCAAACCCAATAAGAAGGCATATCCTGAGATCTACTAAAGAGTGAAAAGTTCTTAGCTTGAATAATTTTTGTTTTCTACTGACAAATGGGCCTTTGCAGAGGTTTATTACAAAACTGACTTATTTGCAATAGATTCATTAGAATATTAACCACTTGACCTATTTTATACAGCCACTACTCAAGCTGGCAACAGGTTGACCTGAAAACACCTGTGAGAATTACCAATGGAGCTAGGGCACAGGTTTATGGTAAGTGACCTGGGACTTTGCAAAACACTTTAGAATATTAGTTAATGCATTATGCTTATTGTTTTACTAAAAACTGGGGTCAGCAGAGGCCAGTGACATTTTGCGTGACTGCAGTAGCTGTAAAGGATAAACCATGAAAGACAGTGTTACAGCTTTTTCTAATATGCAGCAGGTCTTGACTAGAACTGTTTGAACAAGTTCCCAGTACTGATGAAACCAGACAAGAGGTAAATATTCCCCCAAGGGAGCAAAAATCAGTAATTTCAGGTTTGCTTGCTACATGTATTTTGGCAAAGGGCAAAAGTCTGACTCTGGACTGAAATGCGTTTATGTTGGAGCTGTATATATGCAGAGAAAGAGAATTTCTGTCTCAAGAATCTAGCCTTGCAGGCTAGATTGCAGACTGTTACAGTGACCAGAATTTCCTAGCTGAATTATTTTGTTACAGCAGAAAATTTGCCTCTCTTGCACAGTTCTGTGTATGACTATTAGAGCTAGTGACTTACTATTACATAGGTTGGTTTTGTCTGAACTCCTGCTCTCCTTTCAGTATTTCATTTCTTTGAATGCCTTGTTGATCACCATTTATTCAATCTAAGATTTAAAATACCTTTGAGACAGTTATTTTAGAGATTGAGTTATGTTTTGCTTTCATTCTATAGAACTTTATAAAATATGTAGAGTAAGAACAGGCACTGTTGTTTTAAAACACTGATGCCAAAAGAGATGACATTGCTGTGTTAGTACAGCTTCTCCCAAGCTAATAATGGCCAGCTGCTATCACTTCTCCTAGAGAGACATTTTACTGAGTGTCCTACAAGATGCAGGTCTAGTATATCAAAAGCCCATCAGTGGGTTCACCTGCTACCAGCGAGGAGGCAGAGTGAGTTTGGTCATGGAAGGCAGTGGGTCCAGGACTTTAGGAGGGGTTGGGTTCCTGTGTGTCACTCAGGTGAGGTAGGTGCAGTTCTCTCAATTAATTAGTGTCAATAACCTGTGATTTGGATACTAAACCTATGCTAACTCTGCTGCTGGGTGTCCAAGAATATGCCATCCACTGCTCCTATGATATGGGAGGGTGTGTAAATACAGAAGAAATTAATACTATGTGAAAAGGAGAGAACTGGGTTTCATATCTGCTTCATGCCTTGCTGGAAAGAGTTCAACTCACTACTAACTCACCTGCCTTAGAGTCTGTGCAGTTGAACAAGTATCAAAGAGAAAATTCTCATGACAAGGCCAGGTAGGCTGACATCAATATGAATTGTTTCAGGACAAAGTCTTCACAGACAAGATTATTTAAATCCATCTACCTTGTAGTCATATATAGAGTGACCACAATTACAGTTCACTACTGACTGGTAAAGACAGGAATGATTCCATGAGTGTGTTTCAGCTCCAGCACATCTAATAGTGATCACGACACTAAAGTTTGCTTACTATTTTTGTCAACAACAGTTTTTTTCCTGGCACTTTATCCGAAGATAAGATCGTTAAGCAAACAGCACCTTTTATCCCTAATAAATTGCATAATACTGTCTCAGTGTGTTTTTAAAAGGAGTCTGTTACTTCTTTGTTAGTATCTGGTGCAATGTTGCTTCATCTCATAGCTCACACTTTCCCCATTAAGAGCAGCGTGTCAGGCTTTCATAGTGTTTTTTAATCACAGATTTGCCACTCTCAAAGAAAAGAAAATAGCCTGTTGGGGATGAATAGAATGGTTATCTGCTTTGACATGAATTTCATGCTTTAAGTATATTTATAAAAATATATAAAACAAACACAGAAGTTAACATGATATTCTGGCTTTTTACTTGTTTTCTAGCATTTTCCTGAAGAGGAGACTCTTTTTCTCCTGCCTTTTCTTTATCTTCACCTGAAAATCAGCTTTTACAAATGCAATTCTGCATATTTTAATGCCTGATGTAATCAAGGAAATGCATAGAAGTCGTAATTGAACTCGCTCAGTTAAGTCTCCATGTACAGAACTGCCGTCTAGATCCCAAGTGCTGTCACAGCATAAGTGCTGCATCAGTGACAGTTTTCTCATTTGATCTGCTCACAATGGGTGATTGTACTTCTGTCCTGGTGGGCTTACTAAAAACTTTGTGAAAGCCTCCTCCTACCATATGTTGACAGATAAGAGAATATGCTGTAATCCCCGTTCTTTGTAGAAGTAGCTGCTTGCCACTTTGACGGGGAATGAAATCCAGGATCCCAAAACCACTTTATGATTGTTTAGCTGGTCACTGCTCTGGATCCATTTCCTGAACTATCAGTATTTTGTCCCTATCATTTTCAGCACTCATCTACCAAAACTGCTGTGTTGTTAATAAAGCAAAGAAGTTCTTAGGGGAGTAAAAAAATGTTTTTGCTATCTATTCTTTATGACTTGACAGCAATCCTCTCAGAAGCCTTAAGTAGTTAGGCTGCCTTTCAATTCAAGATATTGTGTGTAGAAAAGACTCAATGAGCTACATCCAAAACATGATTATTGGCCTAAACTGTGAACTAACTCTCTAAATCCCAAACAGTAATCCCGAATATGAGCGTGCAGTGTCCAGAATGCCCTGGGGGAATTTACATTCCTTATGCACCTTTTCCCAATATGTGATTTCCCAGGTACACCTTTATCTTATCAGGTCAGAAAGAGCAGCACTAAATTAAATCAGGTTTCATTTTCCAGTCATCATAGGGCACAGTTTTGTTGTGGGGTCAAGTCTTATAGAGGTTATCAGCATAGCAGTGCAAATCTATGATCTTTACAAAATGAAGTGGGAGGTGTCTCTTCAAAAGAGGAAAAGAAAGCAGTTTGAGGAAATGCTTAATACAACAACAGAGTGACTGTAAGACTGTTTAATTCTGTCACCTGCTGAAGGGATTCAGACCCAGCACTTTGTTGATTCTTCTCAAAGCTGTCTTAACCACAAGAATGGAGGTTAACCTCTGGTGCATGGTCAGTGTACAGCTCTGCAGCTGTGGCAGTGCTTTGGGGTGAAGGAGGAGGGAGAGGAGGAGGAATACTGGTTGTCACACTGTGAAGAAACACAGGAATAACCTTTCTCTTGCTGATCAGGATACACTTGAAGGACAAGCAGGCTAGTTTTCTAGCACAGGAATGCATTATTTTTTCTAATTATATAATGAAAACAAAAATTCGAATACTGGGATACTCAGTCCTTGTGTGTAAATGGGCAGAATATTTCCTCCTACTGCTGGGTCCCAGAAGGAAAGACAGGTTTCTCCTCCATTTGTGAAAGAAGTTTTGAAAGGAGCTGGAAGCCTTTTCTCAGAGGAGGGTTTAAAGCTACAAATAAAGGTGAGAGTGTGGTGCCTCTAAACTGTTATGAGAGTCCGTAACTAGGCCATACGCTTGGTGCTTCTTATTAAAAAAGTTTAATCATTGCCTCATATTTAGTTTTCTCTTTCTTAAACATATAAGGTGGTTTCTTTTTTTGTTGTTTTTTTTGTTTTTTTGTTTTTTTTTGAGCTTCTTACAGGTGGCTGGATGTACCTAGTATTAAATTATACTAAGTAATACCTAAGTATGAAAATGAAACCCAAGATGCCAAAATGGTTCCACTTTGGAGCCAGGCTCTTTCCAGCTGGAGACACTAATTCTCATCATCACAGTGTCTAAACTCCTTATTCAACTCGGCTTTATTTCAGTTGTTATGTGGTCTGACTCATAGATCCATCACTTCAACTGGTTCTGTACTGAAATTTCAGATTGACAATGACATAACTGAGACAACATATTCAGTCTCAAAATAGCATATGTGTGGGGAAAATACTGTTTGAGAAGGCTATTTTTATATTAAAACCTTTTTTTCTCTCTCTTTTAAACAACAAAAAGATCACATAA